TTAGTCGAAACAACTCATTCTAATTCAAAAGTACTGTTCCTAAGAATACTCCGATTTAAGTTTTGAAAAAATATTTGAGTTCTTCAAAACATTATCAAGGCATCGGTCGTGGCACAATTTTAAAATTATTTTTAGTTGAAAAAAGTTTAAAAGTGCATTTTTTTTAGTTGAAATAATTAATTAACTGAAAATAGTTTTTAAGTTGCGCCACGACCGATGCCTTAAAAATGAATGTTTTTTAAAATTTTAAATCGATGTGTTATTAAGGACAGTACGTTTGAAGTAGAAACATGTGTTTTTGTAAAAAAATAAATCCTGTATGCGTTATAAAAGTTGAAAAAATAAATAATTTTTAAAATAGATACTTTGTTCCTATGGTAATATGTATGTTTAAAAATTTTAGCTTTATGTTAGGTATTAGCGAAAAATTGCCTATATAATGCGCCTTGTAGTTAAATGCTAATGTAGAGACCCCTTAAAGTTTAAAATTTAGGGCTGGAGGAAAGAGGGAATGCAGTGTTTTTACCTGCATGCGTTACTCTACAGCACTCCTCTCGTCTTAAATTTCAAACTTAAATAACTTTAAAAGTAATCCAATTAATTGTTTAACCTTCAGTCATTATTCGGTCAGACGAGTGAAACGGCGACGAAAACCTTCGTGGCGAATAGTTGAAGTACAGAACCGATTAAGAATTTTGGATGAGTAGAGTGCAAACAGTTCCCTCTAAGATTAGCGATTATTTGGGGAGGAAAAATGAATTGTTTATAACTGGTTATTGACCAGTCAACGTTTTCAGCAAATTATTCTTTATTTAAAAAGTTAGGATAATATATTCTTCACCATTTAAGATCTTAACATAATAGGGGTTTAACTCAAAGCGATGGGGTTTTAATTGTTCAACAATTAATCAAATTTGAGCTCACTAATAACTCTAAAAGTATAAAAGAGAATAATTTAAAAAATTCTAATATTTTTTTTTTTGTATTTTTATATATTTTATCTGGGTCGTAGTAAACCAATCATCCGGCATAGATAGATTTGATTTGCTTCATTGGAATACATTGTATTATTACATTTGCAGAGTGAGATCTTTTAATAATACATGAAAAACAGATAATTATTTAAGTTTATTTTAATATTTCACGACTAAATAGTAGTAAATAGTAATTATGAGAACCGATTTTAGAAGTCATTATATTAAGCGCACTGTTGTCATTTTAATTAACGTTTATTTATGTTTTTCATTATTATAAACCGATGAATAGTTTTCACAGATCAGACAATTCTCCTTGAATATTATCAATTAATTCGTAATGAATGAGTAACGACCGATGATTTATTTACCTATTATTTTCATGATTGCCCGTTCCGTATTATAATATGTTCCGTGTTCACTGTAATATGTTTTGTAGTTAACTTTTTACCATAACATGTTCTCCTATAAGTTTATATACACCGGGATACAATAATACAACGTTTCGAATAGGTACAGTATTTATTTAAACACGAACATATTTCTTGTGGTATTAGAAAAAACACGGAGTTATGTTTTTTTACAAGTAGGCATGGCCGTTATATTGATGCCTGATTATTTTTTTTTTAAAAGCTACACGTATAGCTATCGATTTGCATTTCATACTCGAGACCACCGTACCCATTTATTTTCATGTTAAACATAATAATATATGTAACCCGGAACAACAATTTCCAATTTTTATTTTCAAACTTAAACAAACAAGTACGGAAATGGAAAAGGAACTGTCGCGATAAATATTAAACGATTATACGACAGCAACATGAAAACGAGTAAAAACATAATCTCTTACTGAGAATATAATTCCCGGTTGTTTTGCAAAATGAACTAAATATATGCGAGGGGAATATTTTCACCACTGTTCCGTCTCATTTTCTGAGTTAGCAATTTTCTAGAGGATGTATTAAAATCCCGAAAAAGAGTTATTTTAAGGTGGTTAAACCTAAAGTGTTGTTGCTACGATTTGACTGGATTGGTATTTTAGTGTTAACGACGCGACAGTGCGTACCCACAAAGAGGATTTAGACAACATGTTAGTCTTCGTTTATCCACATCATTCACCGATGGTCGAGGTTTCGTTATTTATTGCATTCCTCAAAATCCTGTCTCCAGCAAATTAGAACTTTCCTGAAAACACGAGGTTCGTCGAAGGCGCGAACTTTTTCTTATTATTTTTTTTTTTTTTTACTAGCTTTGTTTGTTTGGAAAGCAACTCATAAGTCCGTCGTTTGTTAGTTTTTCTTGTTATTTTTCTAGAAATGTCTGAATACCCGTCACACAGCCGCAGGACACGACATTCGTTATTTTTTGTCGGCTGAAACGCATTATTTAATTTATATTTCTAACAAACTTCGCCACTTTTTTCCGTACACAATATAGTTTACGTAATTACTTCACACGTTTTTTTTTTAATACATTTTTCCTCCATATAATGTACACTCAATGTATAACACAAAAGAAGGGGACACACACATGCATAGGACCACTAATTAATCGATACTATACCAATTAATTATTTTAATCGAAACCACCTAAATACTAACTAAACATTAGATAGGTTGGTAGCCGGTGGTATTATAAAATAAAATATCGGGATTTAATGAAAATCGTATTGCAACTGGAACGTCATGTTGAAAAACTTCAGCTATTGTTGTACACAATCCGAAATACACATCACAAAACTCTGTACACTTCCGTCTGTTGTGATCATTGCAGACACATACATAAGTATATTTAGATACCTACAAATTACAATGCTTACATACATATATTATTTGGCCTACGGGTCCATCGTCTCAACGCATTCGTCGATAGGTCACGTAGTCGCATATACGGATAATGATAATAATATTATAACCACCGCGAACAAAACGTTAGACGTGAGCAATTTCACGTGGCCGAAAAGTCACGGTGTGTATAATAATAGTAATAATACTATTATTATTATTATACATTTGCAGCAAAGCACATTTATGTGTCCCAGCTACTATATTTTGTGCTGGACACACAGCTTCCAATATTTATTATTGTAGGTACGCTTTAGGGATCAAACTTCGCTTCAAACCGATGGATTAAAACCGTTTGATTTCGTGATAAGAAAATATTAAGTAAATAATAACATATCCCTTTCCTCAAGTGCGAGTGACTATGACATACCTAGTCAAGGTCATGATTGAAATTACAAGGTGCATCCCGTCTTCATCAAATGTATTCGACGATAAAAACTGTTATGTCGGCGTAAAGGCTAGTCAATCAAAATCAAGTATAATATAAGTACACAGTAAAATATATTGAATAGTAAAGTATAATATAGAAAAATTGATATCCCCTTACGCTGTCATTTTATTTATGAAAATAACAATTCGAGACGATGTGCAATAATAAGTACTTATACTTATATGCGGTCAAATTCAAATATTATTTCTAAGTCTGTTGGCTGGCTTTTAATTAATACAATCACTAATATACTCGGCCCGCAACAGGATTATAGTAATATACTATAATCTATAAATACAGCACTCGGTGTAGTCGATTCGTGGAAAATTCAAACTATTACAATTGATGTAGGTAGTATTAAATATTTGCCTTATCCGCGCTGAATGCAGTACCTACACACTCGAACAACAAAGAACAAATTCAATTGAATTTCAATTTTCATCAAAGGTCAACAAACTCAATTTTTGTTCACTACAATTACTTTAGGCATTAAGCGCGGAAAGTAATTTTTGTGTTCGTGATAGCTGATATAGACCACAAATGATGTGCTGCCTGTGGCATACTCCAATATGGTGATTTATGACCCATGTGCGTTATATTTTATTCCGTGCCAGCCAACACCGAATCATAATTAATATTAACACGTTAGTGTAGAAAAAAAAAATGTAATATTGTTTATCGTTCGTTGAATACAATAATAGAAATGATCGGGATTAATGGTGCATAAAGCTGGAGGACTAATTGCCTATACTAAACGCCTTTTCGTTTATATTAATATAAATGGGTGGACACACAAACCGTTGACAGTTGTAAAATGTACACAGTATCCCTTAGACGTTAAAGACTAATGTCCCAAAAATACATTTCTGGCTAGGTTACCGCATGTGTATGTATATTGTATTATCAATTTTTACGTTCGTTCTGACCAAGTTTTAACCGTTGTTGGACCAAAATTATTTAACACCGGTATTTATGTTACTCGCAATCAGTTAAAAAAAAAAAAAAAAGTGAGAAAAAAGCAATCTTCTCGGCACCTTGCAGTTGATAAGTAGTTGTTTTCGTTGAGCCCTCGTGTACAAGTCACTAGGGTATGTCGGTATAAATACCTGAGTTGGTATTTTTGCTCGAGGTAACGGATAGCTTTTGAGTTTTTGACAAGCCACCGGGGACTCGGTGTTCTGTTGAAACAAATTTAATTTAACAGAGCACGTTTTGTTTGTACTTGTTACAGTGTGTATTAATTCTAAACAGTAAACGCTCGCTCTTAAATCCTATTTAATACATTGAAATTATGAATTAACGTTCCGGTAAAGTGTTGTAGTTTAAGGAATAACGCCATACGCGTTCGAGTGGTCTGTTGTTGCACGGAAATCAACAAAAATAAATAATTCTATAGTTATTCATTAAACAATATAAATAAATAATTTTTTTTTTTATGGAGGGGGACACAATGCCAACAGTACAAGCACCGAGAAGAAAATATTAATGTTGATATTTGTAATGATCATGTAATTGTAGCTATAAACGTTATATTATATAGAAATAGTATTACTGTATGGATGTATAATGAACCGCCGGCGTTGCGCTCTGGTATAAGGAAAATCGTAACGGGCCCAGGTCGTTCACATAGATGGCGCCGTAACTATAATATTTGCAGGCGGTTAGTATTAAAAAAAAAAACACCATCTGAACGTTATTAAAAAAAAAAGGAAAACAATTGTATTTGAATCGCTTACAATATAAAATCGATTTTACATTAACGAGCTATGTGAGTATAGCTCAAGACATTAAAAAAATATAATTTATAATATTACACGACATACGCATAGGTCAATATTACAATATAATATTATAATGTACGCGTACGGATAATGAAAATAAAAGTAAAAAATATACAATTTTTTTTTTTTTTTTTTAGTCATCGTATAAAATAACAAATAAAAACAATAATTACGCCGAAAAACGAATAAAGAGTGGCCAGCACGTGTTGTGGTGTCGTATAAAAAATAATATTATGTTCAAACATCGGCCCATACCACGGCCCTCCTGGATCTGTCCACGCTGGCCACGTTGTTGGTAAACTGATGCCACGAGACGGCTGTCACCGGCGAACTACGGACAAAATACCGGGATCTGTTGAAATTATTCTAAATAGGTGTTATCAAGTGTTTTACCTGTGCTCGGCCCTCAAGACCACCAGAGGCTTCGCTGGTTTCGAAATGTCCCATATGAACACCGAACCGTCCGAAGACCCGACGGCCACGTGGTCGTATTCCAAGTTGAACACTGCCCTAGTCCAGTCGCAGCCCACCTTAAATCCGTCGGCACTGTAACATTAAAAAGAGCAACGCGCGTTGCATAAACACTAGAAATTAAAAAAAAAATTATATACGAAACCTTTTAATGTAGGTATTATGCAACAAGTCAACGGTATAAATTATTATTTTTAATAGGATCGTCGTAAAACGTTACTCGACTTGTACCAATTAAAGTTCTTATGTAAAACCACCTTTTTATACTAATATATTTTATACCCTGCCTCCTGCAATTCCCACGCCTCCGAGCAGTGATTTCGGCCGCAGCAGTGTAAAGCGTTTACAAGCGGGTGCCAATTTAAATGTCTTAATGAAAATTGCTGTAATCCCACACCCACATGTTAAGTACTGTATTTTTGCCCACCAGTTAACGAGCATGTACACGTTTTCTGCGATTAAGGTCGAAATACGGTGTGCAATGATCCAGGATTTTCAGTTGACAGATTAACGAGGTCCGACAGAATAACGACGCTATGTATACACATACCGTCTTAAGTCATAACGGCGGAGGACAAACCGAATTCAAACGTCATTAGCGATTATATATAATAAAACGAAGCCGTAAACTCAGGTGCGCCAAGTACCACCGCGGTCATTAACGGTCTTCCAAGTGAATAATTCGGTTTTACGATCTCGTTAATTAAAGTGAAAAACAAACGGTATCGCCCGAAGCGCAATCAAAACCCATTGGCGTGCAGAATAAGAAAAGAATAGCACTGTCGTGCGAAGTGATCGACAATAAAAACAGATTATTATTATTATAATTAATAGAAAATAAGTGGGAACATCGAACAAATCCTGTAAATTCATAAAATTTGAGTTTTCATAAAAAAATTTAATGGATATATTTTTACTATCGACAATAGGATAAACAGCGACCAAATAAAAATACTATTTTACAATTTTTTCAAAATATCAACAATCAACTATGTTTAATCTTAATTGAACGCTTGAAGCTCAGATCATTTACAATGTATATAGTGACCGTCCGTCGTAAAATGTTACCATTATAACCCCGTAGTTTTTACTAATTGTCCATAGAATTGTCAACTAACACATTTCTAGTGAGTATGCCCAAAAAGTTGTTGCCAATCAAAATCGGTGGGAGGAGGTTATATTGATGACAGTCTGACATACGGGGCATAACACGTATCGTATTCGTTGTAAATTATCTAAAGGTTTAAAAACCATGCGGGACTCAACACTAGTCACACCACCTATTTATTAAGAAATAAAGTATAGGAAATTGTTTTGAAAAAACTTTATACAAAAAACCTAGTTATACATACATGTCGTATAGACATTAAATTTCACAATTTTTTTTAAAATGTATTAATTTGTTTAAAATTGTTCTCTATACAAAATTACCGGAGGTTATAATAAAGTCACTCTTGACCCATTTAATAGCTGCAGTTGGTCCTATTAATATTCTCACGATCTAAAACTAAACGCGTCGACGACTGCTAGCTGACTAAATCGAATCGAATGCAATAAAAATGAATATAAAAACAAAACAAAAATAGTCAAATTATAGATTTTGAGCACCGAGATCTGTTCAAATCGGTCCGTAACCGCTTGTGGGCCTGCCGCGTTCGAATTACTAGTTATTAATATTTTTATTATTTAATACATACACTGTCAGGCACGCACGTTGGACGCGTCGTGAATACACATAACTTATAACACTGTTATTCGTTCAGAGGCTCCTGTAACGTTGTCGTGGTATAACGCGAACGGCGTGTATAGGCAATAAAACATCATTCGGGTTTCTCTTTCAACTCGACCGATGGTCTTTTTTTTAACATTCTTTTCGCACACGGTCGGCGGACAAGTCAAATAATTTTCGACGGGGTCGCTGCATGACTGTGTCATGGACATGGAGTAAAAAAAATTTAGGAAAACGCTCACCGGGGCGTCAATCCTTGTGTACAGAGTAGCAGTTTAATCGAATTTTTAATCAAAACAACACTCCAGATTTACACGGTTAAGTGAGCTACTCAATAAGACAAATGTGCTCCGTCGGTCTTGATTTTCTTTTTTTAATTTCAGCTATTTGTTGGCGAACCTAATTTAAAAATATTTTTAACGCGTTGTGTACACGGTCGTTTATTACACAGCTGTCGACGGCCGAAACATAATATACTTTTGTTAAATACAAAAACCGGATAAAGTTCAAAACGCGGCGGCAAATAGAGATTTATTGGAAACCGACAAGCTGGTACATCACGTATAGGGCTATAACTTTAAAAACAGTACGGCCAACGTTTACGACGATGTTATTAGATTATATAATAATTTTGATTTGTGTCCGTGAAGGCCTTTTATCGTGTCTGCTGTTAAGTGTACTATTTTTTTCTAATGGAAGTTACCGCACAACACGATGCATTCATAACACTTCAGTGAAATACCGTCGGCTACTATAGGCCTAGCATATAAAAAATAGGGTAGGTACCTGTCTAATAAAGGAGCCATTATAACTTCCTCCTCCCTCGCACAAGCTCTGCTTATTTTTTTTTTTTTTTTGGGAGTGCGTGTTTTAAACTAGAAATGAAAATCTATACAAACCTACAAAAACTAATTCGACCACAAAATAATAGTTGTGGTCACTGAAGAAGTTTTAAGAATATATTATATGTATGGCATAGTGCAGTGGTGTCGTAAGTCTATATATTTTTTGGGACATTAAGTAATGTATAGAAGAAGATACTTACAATATATTTAAGATATTATGTACAATTATTGAAAAACAGTGAGCCGAGTTATAATGTTGTGGAAACATGTAGAAAATAATATTCTACATCGTATTTATCAGGTTTTTATTTATGGTATCATCAATTGCTTCATTTTTAATAATTTGTTTTATTTCCCTTTTTTCTGTTATTAATTACTTTAAAAAACACATTTTTGAAACACTGTCAAAAATAGTTTATGACGTTTGACGTATACATTTTTTACTAGTAATGTATGCAAATATTAAGATTCTAAGACTACAGCAGACAAAATAATATATAATGGTTTACATCTAACTAATAATTAAGACACATATACTAATGAGACACGTTGTAAGTAAAAGCTATGATAGTTTGCTAAAAATATTAATTGCAATAAAAAGAGTCAGCATACCTGAGTGTACTAATAAATCTTTATTATAGCTTCAGGCCTCCACAAAAAATTAACCAACCTAACCCTCTTAAAACATTGATGAAAATAAATATCTATAATAATTGAATGCATACAATTCAAAACTATAAATATATTTATAAATAAATATATTTCAAAGCTAAAATTAATGATAAACAAGACTTTACAAACTAGTATTAAACAACGCGTCTCGTATGTCATTATAAAATTATCCTTTCTTCGTATCTAAAAACTTTAAAATAAGCTTTTATTTGTTTTTTTGTTATTAAAAAAGTATATTATTATATTCTACTTAGCGCAATGACCGACTGCCTCTGGATACGTTTTTATAATATAAAAAACAAAATTAAACTTTTAAAATTATTTTTAAGAAAAAAAAATCTATTTAGTTTGCCTCGAGAGAGAAAACTTGGTAATAGAGTAACTCCAAATTGTTTAAAAACAACCCCATTAATAATGAACATAAAACGAATCTTTTCCCCGTGGTAAAATGTGTGCTTGAATTGGAACCACATAACTTTAATCAATAATACAATACTATTATATTTGATTTGTTTGTTGTACTAACATCAAACAAATAAGAGTAATAATAAATAATAATATAATGTAAATATGACTTGCTCGAATGTGTTAATTATTTTATTTGTCCTGAGATCGATTAGCCGCAGGGTATCGTCTCGTACACAGCTCAACAGGTAATTACAATCTGAAACATACAAACCGAATTACAATTATTAAAATATTCTATCCTACTATAGTGTGCATATCAGCATAAATATATTGTACTGTAAGTGCATAATAATATTATAATAATCGTCTATTGTGGTTCGGCCTGGGTGTGTGTCTCGCGACTTAATGCATCAATTGTAATAGTGTGTATTAAATACACAGAGTGCCCAGTAACAAATATCATATAGGTACTATTAAAAATGTGGGTAAATTTGAAATAAAATAATATAAAGTAGATAATTTGATAAATAATGTATTTATTCACTAATAATAGATAACTTGTTGATCGACGAATAACTTTGTTCATAACTTTTCTGATAAAAGATAAATAAAAAAAACTTCTTCTTAAATAACTGTTTTAAATTAGATAATTGTAACAATCATCTCTCGTTAAATAAAAAAAAGCGAATAAAACAAATTATTCGCAAAAATAAATAATTGTGCCCAAGTGATCTTTAAATTAATTATGAATAACAAACAAATTTGTGATAAACTATTCTATTATTATAAATTATTAAATTACATTTTTTTTTATTTCACTTAAATTCGATTTTAGAATAGATTTAACATATCAAAAGTAGATACTCGATGTCTTATCAACATTGATTGTAATTATTATAGCAAACAATGATAAAACCATCGGCGTATACCTATGACATATTTTTACTCGGCATATATACAAACACAAAAGAATGATAATCCTTTAAAAAAAAAAGTGACAAATTAAAGGGGTAAAAAAAACGGTTTTCTTAATGTGTAAATGTCGGCGTAAATAATACATTTTAGCTTATTAATCATCACGTGGGAAGATGTGGTATTATTATTACTCTGACAAGCAACAAATGGCTAGACATTTAGAAAATTCACCAAAACGGCTTTTGGCGAAATTTAATCGAAAATCATTAATTATTACTAAATGATTTAGTAATTAAAAATAATATTTAATTCTACGGTGATCAATCACCGTTATTCATCCAAAGCCGAATACAATGGATCTCGAAAATATTAACAAAATAATTATGTTGGCGAATTCGATAGTTTACGCAGCACGGATAAACACCGTCTCGTTTTTTCGGTAATCGTTTTCAAGGGAATACTGTAATATTGTTTTCATCGACAAGATAATAACAATATTTACAACAAAATAGTTACCTGCAGCATCGGTTGGTGCTTACAGTCTATAGAGTTTACCATTTTAAGACACAAATTGTACACATAATCGTGAAACAATGGTTTTTATACTGATGTTATCAGAGTGTCCGTGACATTGACATAAAAGTTATGCTTCTATCCGATGAAAAAAAATGTACAAAATATTTCACCACTGAAGTTCAATATTTAACCAGCCCAATATTAACTTTCGTTAATAAATAGTAAATATAATTTAGTTATTTTCAAAGTTATATAAGTTTAAATTTTAGGATCGGAGGTGGAATGTGATTAAGAAATGCGCGCAGATAAAAATAATGCTCCTCTCCACCTTTCTTTCCGTCCTAAATTTTAAACTTTAATACTTTTAAAACTATTTATTCAAACTGGTTATCGACAAGTCAACATTTCCAGTAAATTATTTTTAATTTTTAAAGCTAATTAAATATATACGTTGCCATTTAAGTTGATAGAACTTAAGCAAATAATAAAAAAGATAAAAATTTTATTATTGCTTCATATAGTAATACAGTATAATCAAAAATATTTTCAAAAAGAAACACTTCAAATTTGCAATTATTTTAAGAGTAAACTAGTGTAGGACGTTAAAAGAATGACCCGGTATTGGGGAGCCTCCTTATATTATATTATATATATATATATATTTATTAGACTTTCTATTAGCTACATAAACAGACTAATAGCTTATTCAAAAAAGCATCCCTAAAAGTAAAAAAAAAAAATTTTTTTTAGACAACGTGTAGTTTACACATTTCTATGTATATTAAACGTGAAAACAAGATCATCATAATATTAATTAGTTTATTACGTTCTAAATACGGTATACATATTTTACTTATCAAATTATTATTGTGTATGAAAAATATTAAGCAACGATTTTTATACATTTTAAAAACGGTCAATAGTAAAATTTAAGAAATCACAATATATAGATGTTTGAAACGAATTCGGGGATTTTAGGTGTCTACTTATCTCAATCATTTGTCGCCTTAACGGTGTACTATGACTGTATGATACGTTATTTTTAATAAACGAATATCACGTATGTTGCACATATATACAAATCCCAAAGTAGTATGCCATATTACCATACAGTAGTTGTGTAGTATGTGATATAATTCGGCATGACGAGTTGATTACTTATGAATTCACTTTGATCGGTTTAATTACCATAACATATTTAGTTGGCGCCAGCGGGAAGCAAATATGCGCCTCGCGTGCTAAGATTTGAGACAAAATCGTGGGAAGATCGTAAACTTCACTTTAGGTTTAACAAATGCTCTTATAATCTAATACTCTGCTGATAAATCGTTTCTAAATAAATTGTAGGTGGACATTCCGCTCCTGGACAATTTTTAAGTTTTTACAATAAGAACTACTTATGAAAGATAATATCTGTAACAACTGTGATTAAGTGTGAAAATCGAATTTTGGTCAAAATTGACTAAGTACGCTAGGATGTAGTCCGAGGCGTCTAGCACGCCTTGAATAAATATCAAACTCGTTGAACAGACAAGAAAACCTTGAGAGAGATGCAAGTTATTGGCTAAGTTGGGATTTGTGGCAGCGGGTCAACGTTTAAAATCGCTCTCCTGTAAAATCACTGAAGTCGATTTACACACTTATTCACAGTTGTTACAGATATAGGCTATAATATATAGGCATAACTATTAAAGGTTACAAATAAAAATAAGTTATAGGGGGTTAGTCAGCTATAGTTTTTATTTCGACTTAGTCTATTAATTTTCAGGTAATGTTTATTAAAATTAGGGTATAATTTTAACATATCTATTCAGGTTTTAGTTAAAACAAATTTAGTGTTAAATAAGATTTCTAACGACAAATGCACCTCATATAGTTAAATGGATTTGAATTTTTTTTTTTTTTGAAAGCAGAACATTTTTTACAGCTAGTATACTTTAAAATGAAAATTCTAAGTCCTAAATAAAAGTTTTACAACGGAACAGGATAAACTGACGGTAGCGGAGAATGACAAACAAAAAGGAGGTAACAAGAAAATAATAATAACAGTAGAACACGCCTCGGGATATTTAAACTACAACCGATCGTTCAGTCTACAGGCAGCAGAGGAACAAACAACACGTAACGAGTACGCAACGCAGACCTGTAGATAGAAGATGGAAAACTTCCGAAACGTTGGCAAATCCAATTTGTAACTATAGATATGACCGTTAACCATGTAAATAACTCAACAAAACATTTTACAAACAATTTAAAGGATTTTAACTGAATGTTTAGTCTATAATTCTATAGGTGGATAGATTAATAGGGAGTCTAGAGTTAGAAAAATAGTGACCCCATGGTGACGTCATTGATACCGCTTTTCTAGAATTATCTTTTTTATAATATCCAACCGGAAGAGTGAAGACCCCCGTCGTCTCGACGTTTAGTATCTAGAAACTCTCGCAGAAGCCCCAGCACTCTCGACCGTATCTAAAGTCTACCACATTTTAAATACGTAAATCTTGTTTTCTCGAGTAAATAGTATTGAATAAAGAGATCATTCGAATAAATTAGTTATTATTTGTAATTCGAATAAAAAAATCCCAACTCTGATTATAAGTTTTAATATTTAACAGCTCAGACGGTAACTGGTAGGCATACAATTACCCGAGTTTTCCCGTTTTAGTGCTGCTAGTTTTGTTGCCAATAAATGAGTTTACAAGGGAAGTGTGTTAAAAAAACTTCTTCGCAGAAATTTCAAACAATTATTTATTTACTTACTCAAATCCGAGGCGCTTTATATTTTTTCCAAGATGCCAAGTGCAATAATTATACATTCCAAGTATAAGTGGTCGAGAATTCAATTTCCTATGTCTCATTTTTTTCTTCTAATAATACATTACATACCTAACATAACTTAAGAGGTAAAATAAGTCAATTATAAAAAAAAAATCCTTTTTTCAAGGTTTCTGTAGAGTAGTTTATACAGTCGAAAATAGAACTTGACCATGTTGCTTTATATATACGTTCGTCGCAACATTTAAAAATATAAATGTATATCTATAACACTTTTTGTTCAAATTATATAGCATGTATAGTTTGTAAGTAATTGCTCTGAATGTATCAAATACGAAGTTCAATAAATATACAAAACAGTATAATCGAATGTTGAATTGAAAAGAATTAACGACTATATCGAAAATTCGAACGCAATTTTATGGTTTATAATATATGTAAATAAAATAAACTTTTATAAGGGTTTCGTAAATAATTATAACTATTTAATACATTTGTTTTAACTCTGCATAGAGTACAAAATATAACAACGGTAAAAGTGATAAGAATTAAGATTAAATTAATTAGCGAGAATTTTCAACCAAGCTACTCTGGTAATTCGAATTTTAATTTTTTCAAACATGTAATTTTCAACAAGCGTTATTGTTCTGATAAAAATACCTGTATAATTCAGGTAACTGATTTTGGGAGACAAAAACATAATTTAAAAAAAACATTCAAACCCCTAACTTTGAAAAGGAAAAATATACATTTTTAAGGTGTATGTGTAACCTTTATAAATCGAATACAATCTATACATTTTCTATCTTCGAAATGCCTCCAGGTCCGCACCGATACTGCAAATTGTTAACAGTTATATGTAATATATATAAATGCCAAATATGTTAGTTTCGAAATTTTTGTTAGTGTATAGACTTGACGCGCATTTTGAAAACCAATACGGACAACGAAATAGTTCATAATAGCAAGTAGCAACAGTCAAACAACAATAGCGCAGTAAGAAGGTCTCGCCGCCACGGGGCTTTTTCCCCGAGAGGTGCCGCACAA